CTCAAACGTGTTGTATACACATATATGATAGAAAATGAGGATCTGATTCGATTAGATGATGAATTCGTCGTGTAAATGAAGCGTCAGCTGAACAACCGGGAGGAACTGAATTGCTGTTTCGACCTGACTGGTTCTCATTAGCAGTGCAAATATATCGACCCAACCGGGGATCTCACCCGAAACCGGATCAGCTGCTTAGTGCCCGAGCGTGTGGTGTGCTTGCTTTCTCTCTATGAAGTCCCAGGTTCGATCCCCAGTTAGGTCAATGGATTCACACTGTTGATGATGCCTAATTGCGTAGTAATACTGGGAGACCTACATGAATTAGTCGGAGAATGTCTATATATAAGTAATATATTAAATCGCCCATGATGCGGAGTTTGCCGAAGTCCAATGCACTTAGACTGCACTAGGTGACACGGAATCATTGGAATGATTGTTCGTCGTTCGATTAACTTTAATTATTCCCCTCAAGTACTGACGAATTGTATGTTTCCTAATTCACATCCGAAATATAAGTATGGGAATGGCTTTTGCTATAGTTTACACTCAGACTAGTAATTCGCGTACGTATCGAAATCTGCGCCGTAATAGTCAAACCCAACGCTCTAGAACTCAGAATGAAATCAGAACACAGCACTGAACAACAGAATCGAACTGTTGCAAGCGGAATGTTGCAATGTACAAAGTTATCGTGTTCAATAGAACAAACGAGTTCATAGTTTGGGTGCATTCATCACTGCGGCTGGATGAGAAATTATCGCACACCCAAATCTGATGAACAGCGTGGGAAGCAAAAATTATTTTTGTTGTTCTGAAAAAAAAATCACAAAATTATTTTTTCAATTTGATACCATGTGTGCTCTGGGTATAATTCTCGGAAATGATTAGATCTAAGCAACCGATCTTCTGTGACCGATTAAACAGTTTCAATCCCCACAATTGAAGTTCAATAGAAGATTTGTGTAAAATTGGGGAATGTTGATGCAATTGATTTGGGGCAAATGACGCACCTGGAAAAATTGGGCACAAAACAAGATAGGTGACTACTGTGATCACCAGATGGTGACTAACTTGGCTTTTTGTTCTCCAATCAACCTACTTCGGGGGTAGTATAGTTTGGTTGTCATGACCACACGTTTCACTGATGCAGTATATCCTATTGTGCTACCAGTTTCCAAGTGAATGAATGAGTCATCTCGGTTCGGTAATGAATAATATTTCAGATACGTTGTACCGTATCAGTGAAACAGAAAGACGCTCTAGATTTTCTTTCGTTTAAAGTAACACCTGGTTGTTGGGTGTTTCCTCCACGCTTCTACCGTTTCCGGAGCAAAATTCACTCATGCTCAATGCTAGAGTTGCTTTTAATGAAGATACTGAGAATCGCGTCTGTTAATAGTTGGAACATACGATTCCAAATGGTATAATTATGTATTCAATGAAAAAACAGAAGTGATGGAAAGATAAAAAGCACTGGATTCCGGTTGTAGAATGCCTACTGGTCAGATCCGACCACGAGAGTTTACTAAATGTGACAATCGTACTTAAATCCACTTTATGAAATAACTGGATATTGATTTTATTACATTACAAGTGTCCATATATACATATATATATATATATATAAGTACGATATTTAACACTGGCTTTCCAACGCCACAACAATAATAACAATAACCGGAGGGGATTTGGGATACCTAATATAAGAAAAAAAAGAAACTGTTAAAGTGGAAAATTACAGATAAATGGAATAATATTTTGTTTGTTTGTGTTTCACCGTACATTCTTAGTATTTTGTGTTTGTGTTTGTGTTAGCTTATCGTTTTTTTATGGGGCACGGCACTTCAACAGGCAAACCGTACAGCATTCGCGCCACTGACTTCTATTCTGGGCCGTATATCTTAGCGTCTGTACCCAACGACAGTCCTCATCCCTTGGGCCCCAACCTGGAAGGCGGACTGCACCAACTGAAGCCAAAGCTGTAGCCAGCTTCTTCATACCCCTACGCCATGTGTTGGTCTGACCGCCGCGGCGCTTCTTCCAGCCTTTCTCGACACGTACAAAGAGAGCACGGGAAGGTCGAATACAGAAATTCGATTAGCATTCTCATCGCGGAAGGGCTGGGTCTCGCAACCGTGAAGTAAAACGCTACGAACCGCAGCGATGTACACCCTTTCCTTAAGGGATAGTCGGATGTCACGGCGTCGTCACAGGTGTCGTAGCTTGGCGAAAACTGCTCTAGCTTTTGCTATTTGTGATGTGATCTCGTCCCCAACACCAAATCCAGCTGCGATCACGCTTCCGAGTAACTTAAAGCTCTCAACTACTTCCAGCTGATCACCAAAGACGGTGAGTGCAGGCACAGGCTCCTGCCAGTCTTGAACAAGCAATTTGCACTTGAAAGGTGCGTTTTGGACTGCCTGTGTGTTGTCACCCAGCAAGGCGATGTCATCGGCATATTCTAGGTCAATAACTCTGCTCCCTGGGAGGAGTTCAACCCCACCGTTTGCTAAACCGGACAGAGAATTCTGTAGACAGAGTCGAAAAGGAATGGGAATATAAGGCAAGCTTGTCGAACTCCACTGGAGACGGCGAAGGGTGGTGAAAGCTGGCCATAAGACTTAACCCGACATGAGATATGACGATACAACTCTTTGAGGATCGACACATGCTTCTCAGGTACTCTATTCCTCAACAAACAGCTCCATAGTGCGGTCCTATCGACAGAGTCAAAGGCCGCACGGATATCTAAGAATAAAATGATCATTGGTCTTTGATAGGCATGGCGGTACTCAAGCAGCTATCAGATTTGATCGATTTGATCGATGCATCCATGACCGGCGCGAAACCTAGCCCACTACTCGCGGATTTGCTCTTCACGCATAGTGTTCCATAGGCAGAGAATGACACGTGTCTGCTTTAACGGTATGCCTTTTTTTGCCTCCATAGAAAGCGAAATGGTTCGGTGCACATGGCGAAAAGTTATGGGCGGTCAATCCCCCAGTTACCAGAATCAACCGGTCAATATTGTGACCGGCAAGCTGAACCATGAAACTGGAAGTGCAAAACGCACAGTGTCCTAATAGGTTACCTTCAGAATCCCATTATAAACCACCGTAATGGTTGCTGCACATTAGGCCTTATAAGTATAGAGACAGTTGTTAATTCCGAGATTGCAGAGTTTTGATGGTTTAAGAATAAATTCAGGGTGTTTTCTCTTTAGAAATGATTTCAGTCGGTAAACCACAGAGCAACCACAGTCAGTCAACATTTGTACACTCTAATTTATTTAACACAAAACGAATCCCACCAAATGGATCAGCATACACTCATTTTAAGTTAGACGGTAGCAGTGGAGTTTAGCGGTGACCTGCAGTTCCAGCTCCGGTTTAGATGCTTTGATCTAAACCAGATCGGCATCTCCAAACAGACATTCAGATTCGGATTGATGCGTTCGTGGTGTTGTCTTTCAATTTGTCCCCCTCTTCCTCGACGAACCACTGGTAATTAGTTCATCTAGGGGAGTTGGCTAAAAAACCTGATTTCAAATCAAGCAGACCCATACCTCATTGACTGTGGCCATGATCAACGGCTGGATTAGGCATCGAGGTGTATTTGGCACCTTGGACGTTTGATCCTATTCAAAGGGCATATGATGCGATGGACTGGACACCGGCGCCCAATAGATTTCGGTTCTCACAAACCGCCTCGCTTCCTTTCCCGTCAGGTTTTGATCAATCAAAGGCTCCAGTTGTGATTTTTCAGAGGAAATTCGCCTCCTTAAGCCTGGATAACCTGACAGTATTCCGCTTATAAACAAATCGCGTAAATTTTCTTTTCATAAGGATTACTAAACCGTGACTTATTTGGCACAGTCTGGATTCAGACACGCGTAAAGATGTCAGCGCCCACCTATTTTTGCAGTTGATATTTTGTCTACTCAAATAATAATGAGTAGGTACATAGCTTTCGACATTATTTTCAGTTTCTTTTGTCGACATTTGACATCAGAATGACCAAAAACGCTATCGCTTAGTTATTCCGACACATCTCGCCGTATTTGCATGTTCAATTGCGCAGCCTCGGCAATTATTGGTGAGGTACAATGAGGACCTTGTCTTAAACGTAGACCCAATATTTTCTTTAACAAATTTTTCTGCTTGACAGACTTATTGATATTGAGAAGGGTGAATAATATGCCCTTCAAAGTTGTGCTAACCTTAGTGGTGTTATCACCTATTCTAGCAGATTTGCATAACGGTTCCCGATGAGAAGTGAGCACAGTATATGTACGAATTAGGAGGGATTGAGACTTCAGTTATGTGTAGTGGATCGAGGGTAGAAAGGTCAAGTTGAAGGGTGAGGAGTATCGGGGTAGTTGAATCCGACCAAAACATCGTTTTTGTATTTAATAAGCAAGAGATCAAGAAGAGTAGATTTTGATGAAATATAAGTGGAAAAGAAAAACTGGGCAGAATGGCATCCTTCGGTAAGCTGATAGTATTTTTTGGATCAGAAAGGCTAGGGTATCGACTGTGGAACGAGTGCGGTGGTACGCAAATCGGTTAGCCTCTTGCACATTCAGCTGAGATGACATTCTTTGACGGATTCACTTCTCGAAATCCTCCAACACAATGGACTTACATACAGTGGGACGGCATTTTGAGATTCCGCTTTTGGGCACTGCAAAGATGATTTCAGATTTCCAACAACAAGCGCTGGTTAAATAGAATTGTGAGCAGTGACGAAAGTGTGTGTGTGTGTGTGTGAGCGCACTCCTCAACGATGGTAGCCTCCAACATGTTAGGACCGCGGAATTTATTGGGTTTGAGAGTCAGTCGCTCCTACAAAACATCCACTTTTGGAATATTGTGAAGGGTTCTATACCCCTGAGGTTGATGTTTATGTTTTCGATGACCGGTACTGTCTCTCTGTTATCGGCTCCATCATTAAATGTTTTGTTTAGTTCCTCGAAGTATATTGTTGTTCCATATACGATTGAGGATAGACCAATCAATTGCTCGATGATGTACCAGATCTCCCAACAGGTTTTGTTGTGCCCATATGTGCGAGTGTAGATACCCTTCAATTGATGTAGATGGCCTTTGATAGCAAGTGATAAGAGTTTCCCTCTCTGAAGATTTTTGCGTGTCTATGCTCTTTTCGTTGCTTCGACGTAACTGTTTTATATCAAATCACTATTCAATGATCTTTCTGGCTTTAAGGAAGAGATTCATGAGTAATTCTACGT